TGGTTTGGTGCAATTACAATTATATAGTTTGAGAGAATGGCAGAGAGAAAAAAGAAGCTGGTATTTTTATTTTGGTGTTTCGGTAAAGAAATTCAGAAAGCGAGCAAATGTCTAACAGTGGAAAGCAGAAGCAAGAGAGGGAACTCTGCAGGTCGAAAAGCAGCGTGAAACGGAGAGCGGGTTTGTATAATTTCCACCAGAAAATGTCGGTGAAGGCCCCACTAGTTCTTCGAACGTGACTTTCTGGTTAGGGCATGTTTGTTAGAGTTTATTAACAAATTTGTTTAAATACTACTGGATTCTAATATCGCACTCACTTTCTCTAACTTTATATTTGTGGGTAGGGTTATTGCCACGTAAAAAATGGTAAGGTTATTAATTTTTTATTTTTTTAAAAAATAATATTTAAAAATATTAATTTATTGATTGATTTTAATTTGTTAATTAATAAATATTAATTGTTTTATTAATTATTGATTATTTGTTATAATTATTAATCACTTTTATTAATTAAATTAAATAGAATCAATAATTTTAAAAGCAATATTTTACATTTTTTGCTAACCTTAATATTATATGCGGCAACAATAACTACATCTTATATATTTCCTCATTTTTTTCTCTCTTTATAATAATAATTTATTTGTTATTATTCTTTCTCTTTTAATCTTCCTATTATATTATTCCTCTTTAATCATTTCTTACACCTCCATCTATTATTATCTATCTTTTTTTTATTGTAATTCTCTTTTTTTCTCTCTGTATCTACATTAGACAAGTTTTAAGTTAAAACATAAAACGCACAACATTTTAACATTATTCCATTAATACTTTTTCACTTACATACCATTATTTATCTATCTTTTATTATTATTTTTTACACCATCTCTTAACTTATACTTTGATATTTTCTTAATATATTTATCACTCTAAATTATATTCATCCTTACTTTCTCTTTTTATATTAATAATTAGATTTTAAAATCCATGCATATTTTTTTTATTTTTTTCAATGTTATATAATTATTTTTATAGTAATTTTTTATGGTGGAATTTTGTTCAGATATTGTAGTTATTTTCATTCATCAAATATTAAACTAAATTTGGGGATGGAGTTAATTATTTCAGGATCATTTTTTTATAATTTTAAATGTTAAATAGAATTATATATTGTGGCAATTCTTACCATATAATTGTAGATGCAATGGTATATTGATAAATACATTTGAAAACTGATGTGTATTATTTACTAAGGTAGATTTCTGACTTTCTATATTTAGAATGTAATCGGTTTCTGAATGTCAATGTCAATATTTAATAAGTGGGTTTCTAATTTTAAATTAGGTTTTCAATTTTTAAATATAGGTATCAATATTTAATAAGGTAGATTTCTAAATTTTAAATAGAGTTTTAATTAAATGAAATGACATTGTTTAGGGTTAGGATTTTAATTTTTTTTAGTAAAAATTGATATGCATTATTCTGTATTATTAATAAGTAAATTTATTACATTTTAATGTAAAAATAATTTTTTTTTAATTTTTTTAATTTTTTTTAAATATATATTTTTATTTTATAAATAAAATAAAATAATTTTAATGTCTAATTAATACTAATGGAGCATTTTATATTTCAGAATTAATATGCATGATTTCTATGAATAAAATTTTTAATTCAACTATTCATTTTTGAAAATAACAATTAGGAGATGAAATTTTAAACAAGCCCTCCCAAAAAAATTTGGAAAGACAACCTATAAAATATTTTTTCCTATTATTAATATCTAAATTTTCAAATTTTCTTATTTAAATTTAACATTCTAAATCCTATATGCATGCCTCATTAATTGATTTAATTTAATTTATTGCTAATTTAAATTTAAATTAATTTATAAAATTCTAATTTAATGTTTTAAAAAAAAATTCAATAATATCTTTCTTCCATAAAATTAATAGTATATTTAGTTGGGGGGAAAAAAAATTTTCTCTATTTATTTAGCATCAAATTTGAAAGGGACCCCTCCTTTCCCCTCCCCTCTCATTTCTTTCAAATCCAACATAATGTGACTTAAAATTAAAAGGATAAACTACACAAATAGTTATTAACCTTTATCATCACTTTCAATTATGAAACTCTCCTTCAAAATTTGTAAACTTAATTACTCACCTCTGTTTTAACGTTCTTCGTCAATCACTTTCTGTTATCTCTCTCAATTGCCATAAAGTAAAGTGATGACATGGCGTGGGTCAAGAAAAAATTGATGACTTGGTGCTTATGCGGAAATCAAATACATGAATCGCACCCAAAAAGGCAAAAAGCAATAGACAACAGGAAAAAAAAATGATAGGGAAATAATTTTGATAATCTTTTTGTATAATTTTACGTGTCATTAAAATTATTGATTTTTTTATTTAGTTATTATTCATAATATTGATTGCATTAACTTATTTAATAACATATAAAATTTGTAGAAAAAATTATACAAAAAAATTATTCTTATATCACTGTCTAAAATAATAATAACAATTCACAACTTGCCCCACCATAGCTGTTTCCCTCCGTGTAAAACCCTTTTTCTGGAATCGGGGATTCGACATGGTCCATAGGTTAGAAAAGAATGCTAAAAGGTAGGACATTGGGCTTGAAATTCAACAAAGGAATTGAGCATTTCGAAACCTTTTCTTAAGCTATTTCATTTGAACAGATTACTTTTTGTTTGTTTAACAAAGTGGAAATAATTTTGGATGGGGTACTCTTCCTTGCATTCAGAATTTTAATTGATATTGCAATTTGAACGTTAGAGACAACAGTGGTATATGTAAAGCTTTGAATTATTTGGCTAGTATTGCAATTATTTAATTATTTCATTTTATTTGTCTCACTATCTTAATTTTGTTGTACCAGTTTCTTTCCTTATTTCTTTCTGGTGAAAAGGTAGTTTTGTGGTCTTGATATTGGACAAGGAAAATTAGATAACAATGTTCAATGTTAGTAATCCTTACTGGTTGAGTGTAGGAATGCACAATTCAAATGTTTTGAATGGAATGTTGATCCTAGGAGATGTGCAATGATTAAAATTTAAAATCTTAATTTCTTTACTTTACCTTTTCTCCAAAGTAAGTTGGTAATTTTCACAAAGCAAAAATGTGCCATAATTATTATCGGCAAGGTAAAATTAAACTTATAGTTCATTAACTTTTTTTTAATTGATTGAATAATTATATGAAAAGTTAACTTAAGTTAGACTTTCCCTTATAGAAAATTTATTTTCTGGAGTTTTTTTCAAAAATATTATAATTACAATATCACATAAGGTTGTAAGTTCACAATCATAACGTAATACTAAATGAGTATGATGTAATATATATATATATAGGCTACACAATTAAAGATAATCTTTCCTTATCTCTTAACTCATTCTATCCACACGTCATGCGATTCAAATTTAGGATCTATTACTTTCAACAAAAAGATATTATCACTGAATTACTCAGGTCATTAATAGTATGATATGATATTAAATAAATAAATACATATAATATCATAAATAAACCCTTAGCTATTCATAAATAAATGTATATAATATCATGAGTAGACTCTTAAAGAAATCCACCATGGCATCTGTAACCAGTTGAATGAAAAAAAGTTAATTATATAACAACACATTATGTTATAAACTTATCATGCCATGTGAATTGTAACTATAGGCATATTTTTATTTTTTTGCATAATTTTTTATATAATTTTTATAAGTCATTAAATAAATAAATACATACAAAATTACCTGAATGGAATGAGTGAGCGTAATGCAGCCATTACATGTTGCATGTGCACTGAATTTTCATCTTTTTTTTTTTTTTTT